CAAAAATTGTAAGTCTAAAGCCTTAAAGGATTTTTGGCCAAAAATACTTTTTCTCTCTGAACTAAAATTTAATGTGCCTAACTATTTAAGTACATCCAGAACAATACACAAGCACCAAGAAATGACCTCGAAAACCCATAAGTGGCGAGTAATTAGCATTGCAAAAGTAATTAAAATATTCTAAAAATCATTTGAACATTTTCTAAAAGCCATTTGAACAAGTTATAATCAAGATATCAAATTTTGGTTTGTAGAAAAGTATCTTGGCTTTTATAATGCGAGGTTATAGGAATATTGAGTCGATTTACTATAGGTTTTTACGGCACAGTACAGTCGGCCCTTAACATTCGCAGGGGTTAGGTAACTGAGATACCCAAATGCGCAAAATCCAAAATGTTGCTGCCTCTATGTCCTGATGCATCAGATATACCTGTGTGTAGTTCGAGTTTTTAAGACCAAATTATTTGGCAAAAATTGGGGGTCGACCTCTAAACGGGTAATAGTTTCGTTAGGTTGAAAAATATTTACCAGTAACTACCAGTAAACAATGGAAATGATGCACCAACACACCACCAGCTGTGAGTGTCGGTACAGTTGCCAGGGCAGATCTCTTGCGAGCCCAAAGTAGCCAAATCCATGGTATGGTAGCACAGGACGATGTAAAACAAAGTATTCATTTATTAAAGTTAATTCATAGATACTGGACATAAATTTTTGTTCATTACATTTGAAACATCAATCTTTGTTAATTAAATTTGAAACAAGAGAAAACTACGATACTGGATTTTCATTAAAATATTACATCACAAGTATATTTTACCTTAACTGTGACTGAATGAATATATTCTCGGAAATAAATATGCAAATGTAATATTTTTGCTGGAATGACATCGTACATATTATAGTGGGAAGTGGGATAAAATCATGACGAAAGACTTTCGCTTTCTTTCGTTGTTCAAATTTTTTTACCGTAATCGCTTTTCGAATGGTTTTCAGCTAAAAAACTGTTGTACTCGTACTGTATTACAATAATATTCTATCCTTTCATTAGCCTTATAATCCCACAACTGAAAACCATTCGAAAAGCGATTACGGTAACATCTTTTGAACGAAAGAAAGCGAAAGTCATTGCTTTCGTCAATTTCCACTGTAATATGTACATCATTTCGGCAAAAATATTACATTTCCATGTGCTCAGAAATAAATGGTAGTTTTGTTGAAACGTAATGTATCAGTATTTAACATTAAAATGCAAAAATAGCTATAAAAACAATTAATACACCCGTAATGTACTGGCTGGCATCTCCACTCGTCCCTGCTCCCGCCAGTCACCTCCTCCCCGCTCTATCCCTCCGCCTCCTCCACATCGTCACTACTGTTGTATTACAATAATATTCTATCCTAATTGACCTGAATAAATACTACGATACCATACTTCTGAATATTTTCATTAAAATCCATCCAAATCATTTTCCTTGCCATCGTCTGCAGCACCAAACAGCTTCTCCCAGTCCTCTCCTTGAACAGGGCTAGAGGGTACGTGTTTTTCGAATCGTTTTCAATTAAAAAAATGTTACATCACATGTATATTTTACCTAAACTGCGCCTGAATGAATATATTCTTGGAAATAAATAGTAATTTTGCTGAAACATGATGTATTTCAATGTAAAATAGGATAAAATACATGACGAAAACAAAAGACTTCACCTAACCTTCCAATGTTCAAGAGATGTTACTCGTTTTTTTAATAGTTTTCGGTTAAAATACTGTTATATTACAATGATATTATATTCATACTGTGCTTGATATACTACATTCACAGAAATGAAATATTTTGGCTGAAATGACTTAAGTATTACAGTGGAATATGGGACAAAATCGTGACGAAAACAATGACTTTCGCTTTCTTTCGTTCAAAAGATGTTACCTTAATCGCTTTTCGAATGGTTTTCAGTTAAAAAACTGTTGCATCACAAGTGAATTAGGATAGAATATTATTGTAATACAACAGTTTTTTAACTGAAAACCATTCGAAAAGCGATTACGGTAACATCTTTTGAGCGAAAGAAAGCGAGTCATTGCTTTCGTCACTTTCCACTGTAATACGTACGTCATTTCAGCAAAATATTACATTTCCATATTCTCAGAAATAAATAGTACTTTTGCTGAAACGTGATGTATTTCAATGTAAATTAGGATAAAATACATGACGAAAACAAGAGACTTTACCTAACCTTCCGATGTTCAAGAGATGTTACTCGTTTTTTTAGTAGTTTTCGGTTAAAATACTCTTATTTTAGTGATATTCTATTCATACTGTGCTTGATATAATACATTCACGGAAATGTAATATTTTTGCAACTACAATGCTGATGTCAACACAAGTGTGGTTACAGCGAGACTGACTGAGTGAGGGAGAGCTATGTGTGTGTGTGAGGTTGCGGGAGCGGTGGTGTCCCGTGTTCGGTGCCGCGCGCGAGTTGAATGGCGCGCGATTTGAATGTACTTCAATCTACAGAATATTCCTCTGGCGGGGCAATCCGCGTATTTGCGAATCCGTGAATGCTAAACCCGCGTATGTGAAGGGCCGACTGTACTCTTATAAATTGGGGAATGCCCGTAGAACTTTCCTAACATTCAAAGTACCACAACAATATTAAATACAATACCACAGAGTACTTGAGGTCTAGTTAGCTTCAGGTCCTGTCCACTTCTAGTCCAGTTAACTTTATGTCCAGCCAACTTCATTCTAGTTCACATCGGGTCCACTTTAGGCAGTGATGGAGAAAGTGCCTGAAAATATTACTTAAGATAAAGCACTGCACTGTTGAAAAGCAAACATTAAAACTTATACAAAGAAGTCTTCTTCAAATTATAAAAACAAAGCTTTAGCCTGGGTAACTTAACTGAAAAGCATTACAGAAAAGGCATAAAAAAGGCACAGTATTTGTAGAGTATCATAATTAATAAACAATGAAATTATGTTTTGAAAACGAAGCTTAAAGTTATTAATATACTGTACTGTACTTTAAAGAAAAACAAAATAAACACACATTCAAAATTTGGCACGGGATGGAAAACATGAATCTGGCCCATATTTTTGACGTGTCGCGTACCGCCGACACCGATGGGACGTGACTTTAGACACCGACATTTACATAAATGCCCACTTTTATAGGATTACCGTACAAGTGCGCTTAAGTACATACTCTAATGCACTCGGCTTGTACGCCCAATGACACGACGTGAAGTAACGACGTCGGTCTTACCTCCCGCGGGTCGGCGGCGTCTCTCCGTTAACGGCGTCGGGTGCTAGGCCGGACGGGTCTGTGCAGTCGAGTCTGAACTTGTCATACCAAGATGTGTTGTTGGTCCTTGAAGCTTTCTGGAAATGTCACCAATAGTTATATAATACGCAACACTGGAAAACTATTATATTATAGGCAGGGGTTCTTTGACCGGGACTTGGCACAATAACCGCTGCTTATTTGACCGGGATCTAAAACAAAACTAAATCCTTTTGGCAACAGAAAATTATACAATTTAATAAGACCACAGTGTAATGACTAGTTTAATGCCCACAATCATCCCGACTACAACCCCATTAAAATCCCATACAATCCTTGCAGGTCCCGGTCAAATAGCCGACGGTTATTCGACCCAGAATCCGGGTCAAATGACAACTTCGCATTAAAAGCAAAGGTTACTCGTTAGTTTAATACCACACGGAGAAACTGATTGTTCAAATAGGTTAGGTTAGGTCAAATTGGGTTTATCCAATAGTTTGTCATGTATTTTGAACGATTCTGACCTTCGGAAAACAGGTGCACGGACGAGACGATAATTTTACCCGTTTTTATTTGTATTTCTTCTAATAAATAAATATGATCTTAATTTCCTCTTACACTAACAAAAACAATGAATCTTACAAAGTGAGTTAGACTTTCAACATGAAGGGTGAAAAAACAACATTGAAAACCTTACCTAACCTAATCTAAACTGCCTAACTTCTTGCGACGGACGAGCAAAAATTTAATCGGCGTACCCGGTTTCGTACGCGTCCGATGGCGTTTACGTTTCGTGGACGCGACAGACGTAGAACGAGACTGCGACGACATCGACGGATTCTTGTCGTGCTACCGGGAGAAACACAATTTTGTGGGATTTATTATTTTAATCTCTTTCACTCTTTCACATAATCTGTTGTAAGCAATCGGAGGACGGTTCAAATCTATTGTGATATTTACGCGGGAGCAAAATTTTTTTCTAGATATATTTAAGCCTCCCTCGTGACCTAAACGCCGAAGACGAGAACTGACTCGCCGACAAAATATTGAAAACACAAAAAACAAAACATTAAAAAAATAACTTTTTCTCTTATCATCAGTTAAATATCGGCTACTCCTCGACTCGCGACCGCCTCGGCCGCACCGACGTTTTGTCAAATTACCTATTTTCGAATCCCGACGTTAGTGATTGAGCTGTGTACCGACAAAATTTTTGTTTGTAATTCCCTTTAAGATACCTGGCAAGAGTAAAACTGAGAGTTTCGTGGTGCTCTGAAGAAAAAGAGACGCCCATTTTAGATTTTCTATGTAATGTATTATTTTCGCATTTTCGACTTGCGACCCGGTCGCCGGTCCCCGAACCCGTCGTAAGTCGGGGACCGACTGTACCGTAATGTGCTGGGTATATATATATAGTATAGCTATACCGTACTGTATATCACTATCTACAAGAGTTAAGTTGGACTCGCAAACGAGCCTCGGGAACTCGACTCGTCTGTCGGTCGAGAAGCTCCGATATTGGCTTATAATCGACGTGTACGGTTGCCCCAAAATAATATCTTTAGCCACGGGGTTGATGTTATTCGAGGCTTTCCGAGCAATGTTACACGACCTGTCTCTGAGCTGTTGTTAACTCTACATCTACACCTTTCAGCACAAATGAGTACATACACGTTTTTGAAAGATGCGAATCCTCCCGGGCTTCGGATCGCACGTTACACGAATTGAGATTGTGTGTCGTAAATGGACTTTTTGGAGACTACATAATTTGGGAGGAACTTTTTTATAATGCGAGGTTATAGGAATATTGAATCGATTTACGATAGGTTTTTACGGCACAGTACTCTTATAAACTGGGGAATGCCGGTAGAACTTCCCTAACATTCGAAGTACCACAACAATATTAAATACAATACCACAGAGTACTTGAGGTCCAGTTAGCTTCAGGTCCTGTCCACTTCTAGTCCAGTTAACTTTATGTCCAGCCAACTTCATTCTAGTTCACATCGGGTCCACTTTAGGCAGTGATGGAGAAAGTGCCTGAAAATATTACTTAAGATAAAGCACTGCACTGTTGAAAAGCAAACATTAAAACTTATACAAAGTAGTCTTCTTCAAAACTGTGCAAATAAAAGTTTAATTAACTTAACTGAAACATACAAGTAGAAAAAAGTATAAAAAGCAGCACACTATTTGTAGAGTATCATAATTAATAAACAATGAAATTATGTTTTGAAAACGAAGCTTAAAGTTATTAATATACTGTACTGTACTTTAAAGAAAAACAAAATAAACACACATTCAAAATTTGGCACGGGATGGAAAACATGAATCTGGCCCATATTTTTGACGTGTCGCGTACCGCCGACACCGATGGGACATGACTTTAGACACCGACATTTACATAAATGCCCACTTTTATAGGATTACCGTACAAGTGCGCTTAAGTACATACTCTAATGCACTCGGCTTGTACGCCCAATGACACGACGTGAAGTAACGACGTCGGTCTTACCTCCCGCGGGTCGGCGGCGTCTCTCCGTTAACGGCGTCGGGTGCTAGGCCGGACGGGTCTGTGCAGTCGAGTCTGAACTTGTCATACCAAGATGTGTTGTTGGTCCTTGAAGCTTTCTGGAAATGTCACCAATAGTTATATAATACGCAACACTGGAAAACTATTATATTATAGGCAGGGGTTCTTTGACCGGGACTTGGCACAATAACCGCTGCTTATTTGACCGGGATCTAAAACAAAACTAAATCCTTTTGGCAACAGAAAATTATACAATTTAATAAGACCACAGTGTAATGACTAGTTTAATGCCCACAATCATCCCGACTACAACCCCATTAAAATCCCATACAATCCTTGCAGGTCCCGGTCAAATAGCCGACGGTTATTCGACCCAGAATCCGGGTCAAATGACAACTTCGCATTAAAAGCAAAGGTTACTCGTTAGTTTAATACCACACGGAGAAACTGATTGTTCAAATAGGTTAGGTTAGGTCAAATTGGGTTTATCCAATAGTTTGTCATGTATTTTGAACGATTCTGACCTTCGGAAAACAGGTGCACGGACGAGACGATAATTTTTGTCTAATAAATAAATATGATCTTAATTTCCTCTTACACTCACAAAAACAATGAATCTTACAAAGTGAGTTAGACTTTCAACATGAAGGGTGAAAAAACAACATTGAAAACCTTACCTAACTTCTCGTGACGGACGAGCAAAAATGTAATCGGCGTACCCGGTTTCGTACGCGTCCGATGGCGTTTACATTTCATGGACGCGACAGACGTAGAACGAGACTGCGACGACATCGACGGATTCTTGTCGTGCTACCGGGAGAAACGCAATTTTGTGGGATTTATTATTTTAATCTCTTTCACTCGAATTTCACATAATCTGTTGTAACCAATCGGAGGACGGTTCAAATCTATTGTGATTTTTACGCGGGAGCAAAATTTTTTTTCTAGATATATTTAAGCCTCCCTCGTGACCTAAACTCTGAAGACGAGAACTGACTCGCCGACAAAACATTGAAAACACAAAAAACAAAACATTAAAGAAATAACTTTTTCTCTTATCATTAGTTAAATATCGGCTACTCCTCGACTCGCGACCGCCTCGGCCGTACCGACATTTTGTCAAATTACCCACTTTCGAATCCCGACGTTAGTGATTGAGCTGTGTACCGACAAAATTTTTTTTTGTAATTCCCTTTAAGATGCCTGGCAAGAGTAAAACCGAGAATTTCGTGGTGCTCCGAAGAAAAAGAGACGCCCATTTTAGATTTTCTATGTACCGTATTATTTTCGCATTTTCCACTTGCGACCCGGTCGCCGGTCCCCGAACCCGTCGTAAGTCGGGGACCGACTGTACCGTAATGTGCTGGGTATATATATATATATAGTATAGCTCTACCGTACTGTATATCATAATCTACAAGAGTTAACTTGGACTCGCGAACGAGCCTCGGGAACTCGACTCGTCCGTCGGTCGAGAAGCTCCGATGTTGGCTTATAATCGACGTGTACGGTCACGCCAAAATAATATCTTTAGCCACGGGGTCGATGTTATTCGAGCCTTTCCGAGCAATGTTACACAACCTGTCTCTGAACTGTTGTTAACTCTACATCTACACCTTTCAGCACAAATGAGTACATACACGTTTTAGAAAGATGCGAATCCTCCCAGGCTTCGGATTGCACGTTACGCGAATTGAGATTGTGTGTCGTAAATGGACTTTTTGGAGACTACATAATTTGGGAAGGAACTTTTTTCATTGTAGAAAACTGTTATCTATATGTATGTTTATATGCTGCATTTATTGAATGTATATATTATATATTATGTTACTTCTTACGAAATGTGTTAGGCACGTTGTAACCAAGAACAGACAATAAACAGCCAGCCAGACAAACCATGTGACTCTTCATTCTCCCATTAAATAACCCAAGATACTACACTGGCGACGAGGATGGGATTATCAAAGTGTTGGTGAAGTCCTTGAAGAGAGAATAGTGACCACTGAAGGGAAGGCTACTCTGAACCTGGAGAATTTAAGTGAAGAGAGCAACCATGGCTGGCGTCAGTGAGTGGGGGAGTATGATGCAGACAAGGAAGATTTCACATCATATTGTGAGAGAATGGACTTCTTCTTTCTGGCAAATGAATTAATGGACGACGGTGGGGATGCGGAGAAGAGAAAAGTCCTTGAAAAGAAAAGGAAAGCAATCTTTATGACAGAGGTAGGAGCTAATGTTTATTCTACTCTGGTCAATCTGCTTACTAAAGACAAACCCAAAGACTCCTCACTGATTCAGATTACCAAGATTCTGAAGCAACATTTTGATCCTGCTCCACTTGAGATCGCTGAAAGTTACAGATTTGGCACCAGAGATAGAGGTAAAGATGAATCAGTAAGTAATTATATCGTAGTTTTGAAGAAGTTATCCTTTCACTGTAACTTTGGACAGTTCTTGAACCGAGCTCTAAGAGACAGGTTTGTAATAGGCCTGAATTATGAAAAAATACAGAATAAGTTAATGAACACCACTAACTTAACTTTTGAAAGTGCATGTCAGATAGCTACAAGCATGGAATTGGCCGAGAAAAACACCAGAGAATTTGTTCCCAATGCTGGTAGTGAAACAGTAGGCAGTAGTGGCTCAGTGTGTAAAGTAGCTGTAGCTAAAAGGAATAAATATGCCACAAAACAAGGAACACATGCTGATTTAAAATGTAAGAGGTGCCGAGGGAAACGTGAAAGCTTTCAGTGTAAGTTCAAGAATTCAAAATGTTACAATTGTCAACGTATTGGACATATTGCTCCTGCCTGTAGAAGTGATAGAGGTAGAGTATATGCAGTTGAAGGTGGAGAGAAGGAAATGAAAAACAGTATTCATGAGAGTGTTAGTAATTTTGGATATGATAGTGATGAGAGTGCCCATGTGTTTACTATTTACACCAGTCGTGAAGAGAAAGTTAAACATAGGTATAATGTGGACTTGTGTATTAATGACACACCTGTAACCATGGAAATGGATACTGCAGCTGATTTCTCCATAATGAGTAAAGATATGTATGAGAAACTATTTGCGCATGTGCCTTTAGAAGACTCAGGTGTCAAGTTGAGAACTTATACTGGAGAGATTTTGAACACAGAAGGTAAATTAGAGTGTGAGGTAAAGTACAAAAATCAGAATTTAAAGTTGCCATTAATTATAGCTAGTTATGTGAATAGACCCACTTTGTTAGGTAAGAACTGGTTGTGTGAACTTGAGATGGACTGGAAGGAGATATTTAGTGTTAGAATGTGTAACAGTATTCCAGGTCTTGAGAAATTGCTTGAAAAATACAAGATTTTATTTGTAAAGGGACAGGGTGGTATAAAGGGTTATGAAGCTCATATCACCATTGACAAAGATGTTGCACCCATATATGCTAAGTCCAGACCTGTTCCTTATGCATTGAAAGGTGAGGTTGAGAAGGAATTAGACAGACTTGTGAGTGAGGGAATTATTGTGAAAACCGCCAAGAGCAATTGGGCTGCTCCAATAGTAATTGTACCTAAAGCTGATAAATCTGTTAGACTATGTGGTGATTATAAAGTTACCATTAATCAAGCTGTTGAGGATGAGCAATATCCCTTACCCACATCTCAAGATTTGTTTGCTGCACTAACAGGTGGAACCATTTTCACTAAGTTAGACTTGTCCCAAGCATATGCTCAGGTCTCTGTTGATGCTGAAAGTCAACAGTACCTTACCATCAACACTCATAAAGGATTGTACAAGTTCAAAAGGTTGCCTTATGGTGTTAAGAGTGCACCAAAGTTATTTCAGTGCATCATGGACAAAATTCTTGTGGGTCTTCCCAATGTGTTATGTTTTCAGGATGGTGTCCTTATTGTTGACAGTGACATCCAAAATCATGTCAAAACCCTAGCCACAGTATTCGAAAGATTGTTGGCACACAATGTCAGGCTCAACCAGAGCAAATGTTCATTCCTAGCTAAAGAAGTAACTTATCTGGGCTACAAAGTGAATGCAGAAGGCTGAGACCTGTAGTAGATAAAGTAGGAGCCATAGTAAATTTACCTGCTCCAAAAAATGTCAGTGAATTGAAAGCTTTCCTAGGTATGATACAGTATTATTCAAGGTTCTTGAGTGGACTTTCATCAGTTTTAGCCCCTCTGCATGAACTATTAAAGAAAGGGATACCATGGATATGGAACAGTGCAACTCAGAAGTCATTTGAAGATTGTAAAGCTGCTCTGTCTAGTACTGATGTTTTGGTCCACTATGATACCAGTAGAACACTAAAGCTTGCTTGTGATGCATAGGGCTATGGATTAGGTGCTGTCATCAGTCACATAATGGATAACGGGGAAGAAAGACCCATTGCATATGCCTCGAGAACTCTTACCCAAAGCGAGAAAAATTATGCACAAATAGAGAAAGAGGCTTTGTCTATCATATTTGGAGTAAAGAAATTTCACCAGTATCTATATGGGAGAAATTTTGTTTTAATAACTGATCACAAGCCTCTCTTGGCAATTTTGGGTCCTAAATCACCTGTTCCTACACTTGCTGCAGCAAGAATGCAGAGATGGGCTTTGATATTGTCGGCATATGACTATGAGATACAGTACAGACTTTCAGATGATCATTCCAATGCAGATGCTTTGTCAAGGTTGCCAGGTAGTGGATCAAATGATGGAGTAGAGCCTAAGGTTTATGTTGTAACCATGATAGCAGAAGATTTTCCAGTCACCTCCGGAATGATTGCTCATGAAACTAGGAAAGATGTTGTATTAGGAAGAGTCCTGGAGTATACACTAAATGGATGGCCAGAGATTTGTCCATCCTTAAGACTTTCAACCGTATCATTTAAGGAGATGTCAATTATCAGAAGAACAGGGATGTGTGTTGTGGGGTATGAGGGTGTTAATTCCACAGTGTTTTAGCGGGTAAATTTTGAATGAACTGCATTTTGAACATCCAGGTATATGTGCTATGAAAGCACTGGCCAGAAGTTTTGTGTGGTGGCCTAAACTGGATGGTGAAATAGAAATGATGGTACGTGAGTGCTCTGTTTGTCAGAATGTTAGGAGTATGCCACCCAGCACACCTTTGAAAACCTGGAAATGGCC